TGGGCCTACGGGGATTCATTACCCGGTTTTCACAATCGGTTTTCATCAACCAACACAAACTCATGAATAAATAGTCAAACATTAATCCCAAACTACAAGGGTTTATAAGATTCAAAATCCACACACCAGGTTTGAAAACAGTTTGCACAAAACATAACGTGCAACAAATTTATTCAAGTTCAACGGAAGCCATAATAATGCATAAATAAATAGACCGACCAACTCGTCCTCTCCTCGTCACCCGGCTGTCACTTAACCTGCATCGGTAAAGAGCAGGTGAGGATAAGCACAAGATGAAAAGCGTGCTCACCACTATGCACATATATCACAACATAATAATGAAGAGAAGGTATGGTTAGAGTATGAACATAAAGCAATCATTTGTCACGTCTCCAAATCACATCACATCATAACATATTACCCACGTGTACACATCTCTCATTAGCCAAGGATAGGGGATTCATTACCCTAACTCATGGGGGTACGTGCCACTGTAACGGACAAGGCCTTTCATTAGGTCTTACGGAGACTTGCCTCGCAAGGGCAACCGTACCGTAACTCGACGGGGACAACCGTACCGACGGCCGACATCGGCTCACGCTGATAGGCTACATGATTTACATACATACTAAAATCATACCATCTCAACAAGCAACACACATATATGGCATAGCAAGTTTTGAATAAGTAAACCCACCTGGTGCAGCAAAGGAAAACAGCACAATCAAGAGTAGGTAGTGAGCACGGCTCGTCAAACACCTACAACAAATTATTATATTAAGATCAATACTTTTGAACTTAGAGAAACATACACAATCATACTTGGTCGAACTCGAGTCAACCAAGTCGTTCGTGAAGTTCTGTGGACTTTGGAACACTGGGATCTAACACTTAGACTTGACCAAAAACACATAAAATAACACCTATAGACCTAGCACATAAAACAAGGTCAAACCAGTCAAAGACACACACAAGGGTTCGAAAATATATCGGAAAGATATTGGGTCGGGCCCCGGGCTCGCTGGCACGGTCGGGACGTGGCTGGTGCTGTTGGGCACGCACGGGTGCTGGCGGGTCGCGCACGGGCGCTGG